GGAGTCCATCCCCTATCTCCTCCCAAACAATATGCATATGCAATGCTCAATCAATACATGTAATTTCTGTATTAATTCAATAGTCTAAATTTATGACTTAACAAATTGATTAGTTTCAATTTAATACCCCCAAATGGCTTTTCACTATCACAAATGTCCCTCAATGTACGATCAACCGCCTCAACACAATGTCTATGTTGCATAGGAACTTCATCCCAAATTATGAGTTTTGTTTCTCTAAATAACTCAGCTTGTAATGATTGTTTGCTAAACCCACAAAGTGAATTTTCCAATACATCTAACGGAATGGAAAATGTTGAATGTGCAGTGCGACCTCCTACCAGTAACAGTGATGCAATTCCAGACGAAGCCACAGTAACAACGATATGCCCAAGGCTACGACATTTTAATGCAATCGTATTGTATAGAAATGTTTTCCCTGTTCCTGCACCCCCATTCAGAAAGAAAGCAGTTCCTTTATTTTGGGAAACTGAAGAAGTGATTGTATTATAAGCATTCCGCTGTCCATTATTGAGACAATCAATATTAATTTGTGGATCTGCATGTTCTGCCTCACTCTGCAGTTGTTGATGTTCAACTATCAATCGATTGCCAACTACTGCACTCCAATTTGAAGTAGGTTGTGGCATGAGTGGGAAGTTAATTAAACTTTTGTTTGATTCATGAAGCATTTGATTCAAAAGATGGAGACCATAATCTTCAATTTGAGCCTCAGTTGGTTTAGAAATGACAAACAATGTACAAATCTTATGTGCAAGATCATCACATATATGCGTTGAAAATTGATTCCATAATGCATATGGATTTAGTGGAGAGCACTGGGTGAGAATAATACTAAACAATCTTCTCAATTGATATCCAGTTTTTATGACTGCAGCCTCTTTCAAGCATTGTATCCATTCTTCATCATCTTCTAAAAGCCCCCTTGCAACACATGCTAATTTAAATGTATCATGCACAACATTATCGACCGTGCGTAAAGACTGAAACGACTTTGGTCCTTTGACAACGGTTAGTAACAAACGTAGATAAAATCTTTCGCCACAATTAGGGCTTGCAAAGTACATTCTACCAATTGCATATCCCCTTTCTCTTGATTTCCATCTCTTTTCTGACTTGAGCCAGACAAAATGTTGTGGAAATTCTTGATAAGTGAATGGACATTTATCTTCACTGGCAGCACAATATGCAAAGAAGCCAGTAAGAGTTGACATTTGTTGACCAGCTCTAGATTGAATCGTTTGTAATGACTCTTCTGGGTTAAAAACAACACGATGCATTCCAGGTAAATGAAGTGCCAATCGTACAACTGTTGGCATCTCTGCATGCAAAGGATGACCAAATATTCGCCAAGCAGCTTTTGGAGGTCCAATATACCTTGCATTGAGATATTGTTGAATCTCATTTATCATTCCTAACACCATCGTTGTACGATCATAACCCTTATAAATGTACTTATGTATATACTTGACACATCTCATTCCGGCACAAACTTTCACATTTATATGACAGTTGAAAAGTTTTGAAAGATATGCATTGTATGGTACGACATCCCTGTTATCAACTTCTTGCCCTCTCACAGTATGTTGACCATTATTGCGACGACGATAGATAGGGTATCCATCTTGATCCATAGTTGTTGTTTCTGTGAAAGCTCGAGGGTATCTCTTAGTGCATCTACCATTTTCCATACATGGTGCTTGCGGATTTCGAGCACCACATGGTCCATGTACCATACAACATTTGATAGTTTCAAAAAGCATAGGATCATCTTTTGGGTTTGGAAATTCTTCACAGACCAATTTGTCTACTTGAGCACATGTCCAAATTTTGTCTAGACTCTTGAGAAATAAAAGTGCATGCATATGAGGGAGGCCTCGTTTTTTAAATTCAATTGTAAAAACATGTGCAACTTTATTTCCAAACACTTTATTTGTTTCTATCTCCTTCATCAAACATTTTCTCTTCAACTCAAAAACACGGGCAATTAAATCAGGACGATCAATAGGTTTTTGATATGGTAATAATGCTGAAGTAATTTCTGGCCAATTGGGATTTGCAGTCATGGTAAGAAAAATATCTGGGTGTTGGTTGTATCGTGTGATAGCCATTGAATCTTGAAAGATTTCAAACATATGTCTAGGACTACTAGTAAATGAAGATGGCAAAATAAACCTTTGACCAATTTGTCTAGGTCGCACATAATCTGGATCCATATCTGACAACTCTTGGTAAAGCTCAGGCCGAAGTTTCCCTTGATTAAGCTTGTAGTATGTCAATCGATTTTTCTCAGTTGCAGCCCAAGCATCTACCAAAAACTCTTGAAATAGTTTCCCACCTCTCAAAATTGTTTATACTCTGTGTTAAGCTTGTAGTATGTCAATCGATTTTGCTCAGTTGCAGCCCAAGCATCTACCAAAAACTCTTGAAATAGTTTCCCACCTCGCAAAATTGTTGAATACTCTGTCGGTCGTTCAAACAAACGATAACTATAAAAATTTATTTGAGTAAGTCGATCAGTTGAAGGTCGATCATACTGAATATTCCACAATTTCAACTCAGGTTCCCATCCAAGCTCACTATATGGAAATAATAGAACATAATGTAATGGCAAGTATGCTGGGTGACATTCATTAATTTGCATCAACTCATTATTTCCTCGGAAATGTAAAATAATATCTCTCATTCCATTTACCTCTGTTCCATCACCTGGTATTACAATTGCAATCTCATCTGTAGTTGGTAGGTTATACCGACGTCGATCAGTTGTTGAACTGTAATGAAGATGAGCAGGTAGATTGTGTCCTGCCGAGTCTAATTGATGTAAAATGGCATGAGCCTGGCGATATTTATCTACAAATGCATTGACTTGCAACAAACTATCCTGAATAGTTTTGAGAACATCCCTTCTCAAGTTAGGATTTCTACGATTACGAATTTCTAAAGCTGAATAAGGGTCATAGATATACAGCTGAGCATAACTCGCATCCTCCCCTGGTTGTGGTTGTAGTGATCCTGTTCGATGTCGCAATTCCCCATGAATTGTGAATGATGTAGGGCCCCTTCCACTGAGTACTCTAGGATCCGATGTAGCACCAAGACTCGTAAAAGCATTGGCTGCATTGTACACTCGAGTATAACTTCGAAAGGATTTTGATTGATCATTATTCCCACCATACAATGCCTGAAGTGGTGGAGGGAGTGTAATAAGTAAAGGTAGCCTAATCTTTCCTTCCAAACAGCAAGTTCCGAATAAGGGACGCTTTATAGATGATTTTGTCAATTTTTCATCCATCCAATGTAAGGCTGAACAATAAGGACATAATACATCCATCTTGCCAAGATAATGGCGGCAAGAATCTTTGTGTGCCCGGGCGTCAATTGATATACTCGTAGGCAAATCTTCTAATTCATCATCAGTACATAGATCTTGTTGAAAAAATCGATTTATAGGAGTAGACCTACGAATATTTGTGTATAAATAAGATTTTGTAAAACAAAACGGTATGAGTAAAAGTATGTATTTCAAGATTAGACATAGTAGTTTACCAATTCCTTTGTGAATTTGAAGATGTGCTTGGCATAGAAAACGAACATGTAGAATGACGGGTAACCATTGTTCGTTTTTGTGCCGACTGAGAATCTTCAGTTATTGTTTCCCACTCCAAGTGAGTGCGATCGCGACGAATTGGTGTTAAAGAATGTTGTCTTAGTTGAACACATTCTTCTAATCCCTCTTGCTCTCGTTGCAAGCATTGAAATTCAACTTTTTCACGCTCTCGCCGTGCCCGTTGGGCCAATGCAGCTTTTGATATTACATTATCATTTTGTGCCTAAAAACAAAATATTTTATCATTGAAGCAAAAGATGTGAATATTTTGTGCTTAAAATGAAACTATCTTCTTATTTCTTCCCTTTCTCTTAATTTTGTTTTCTATTTTATTTGTTTTATACCTTTAATAATGTTATCTTTATTTCTTTTTTTCTTATTTCTTCCCTTTCTATCTTCTTATTTCTCCCCTTTCCCTTTCCCTTTCCCTTTCCCTTTCCCTTTCTTTGTTTTCTATTTTATATATTAAATAAGAATTAAAAACCTATCTTATTTAGTTTCTCCTTTCTTTATATATTTTTTCTTTATTTCTTCGTTTCTTTTTTCCTATTCTCTTTATATAAGTAGCAACTTATGGATGGTACATTATAAATGCACATGTATCCATGCAAAATAAGAATAAATAAATTTGAAAAACACATACAAATAATAGCAAGTTACAGGAAAACATATTACAATCATTCTACAAAAACAACATAATACAATAAATTCATTTTATACACTCATATATTTTAACTATTTAAAATTTTGATTAGTTTTGCGTCATATTTTTAAAAAAGAATATATACCACTTGACATGCATTTGTCATTCTCTTGCCGGAAGGAGCCATCTTTTCTTTTCCTTTAGACATTGGGTTGACCTTTTCTTTATTTTTTGCCTAACAAATATAAATAAAATATTGAAAAGATTAAAAAAAATCTTATATAATCTTATATAAATAAAATACATACAATGTTTGACTTGATTTTGTACTTACCGCACGAACACGGATAACATTAAGGTCGTGCTCATCACGGATGACCACACCAACATTTCTACATGGAGTTGTAGGAGGAGGCCTACAGAAATAGGTTGTGAACAAATTAAAATGGTTGTCTTGTCTTGGGTTGTGAACAAATTAAAATGGTTGTCTTGCAATACTATAAAGTGGTAATAGTAAGAGTAAAAAATTCAAGATTGTCTTGGGTAAAAAATTCTTTTTATTTTTACCAATTTGGTGTTAAAGAAGGTTGTCTTGGGATAATACATTCCTTCGATCTTTCTCTTTCTCGTTCTTGTCACAGGCGTTGTCCCAATTGGTATGCAGAACATGGTTTTTGATTTTTTTCACGTTCTCGCCGTGCACGTTGGGCCAATGCAGCTTTTGATAACACATTATCATTGTGTGCCTAAAATAAGAATATTATATAAGAAGGTGCATAAAATGTGAAGATTAACTAACTTGCTTCCCTTTCATCATGTATTTTTTCTTCCTTTTAACTAACTTTTCCTCTTCACTCGGTTAAATTGTTAGTCATATAAGAACCAATGCATGTATTTATGAAATTTAAAAAGGAAGGGAAAAATAATTTGAAAACACATTAAGCACACAAAACTGCAAACTCGCTATGCACGCACTTATTGGTTTTAAGACATTACCCATCTCTTTATAAAATGTACGTTGAAAAGGTAAATATTAGATCATTGGGTACATAAAATGTGAATATTAGCGTGTAATGTCTTGTACTTTCCTTTTCTCTCTTCTTGTTATTTCTGTTATATTAAAATACATTTTTGTCTTTTTCTTCTTTCCTTAAGAACTTCTTATAAGAAAAATAAAAATTAAAAAAAATTATATTTATGTAGTTTCCTTTTCATCACATATTTGTTCTTTCTTCTTATTTTCCTTTTTCGTTTTCTTCTATTATATTTTTATTATGCTATGTTGTAAATGCAACATATTGTACAAATGCAACATATTTTTATCATACAAATAGACAAACATATTAAAAATTCAAATTAATGTTCATACAAATGCATTAGAATGTTGTACAAATGCTTGCTTTAACATGCTTCAGAAAAACATTTCACATTCAATAAAAAGAATTGAATAAATTTTTGAAAAAGAAACTTTTGAAAAATGTACATAAAAAATAGTATATGACACTACGCAATTCCTAAAAAAATCTATATAATATTCGAAAAAGAAACTTTTAAAAATTGTTGAGAAACCATACCATGGGATGTGCATTTTCCTTTCCTTTGCCATAAGGAATAGCTTTTTTTGTTTCCTTTGATATTGCTTTGTCTTTTTCCTTTGCCTTTGCCTGTAAAAAATAAGTAGAATATATTTATAAATTATTTTTAAAATGATAAAAAAATACATGTCCAATGTTCAAGTGACTTTTATGCTTACCTCATGAATGCGAATAGTATTAAGGTCACGCTCATCGCGAATAACAACATTAACATTTCTTTCTTGAAGAAATCGAACCTATACATACAAAAACTTTAGAGTAATAAATAAAACTTCATACACATAAATAAGAAAATTAGTAAGGGGAGGTGATATTACGGTTCGGTGTAAGTCCCCATCCACCTATAAAGCATGAGGAAAAAAAATAATTAGAATAGTGATATTGTCCATAACTGTTGTACTTAAATTTATAAGAGATGTATTTAAATTTATATGATGAGAACCAAAAAAAAAAAAAAACCTTACTTGACCAAAAATAGTAATATTGTCCATACCTGTTGTATTTCAACCTAAAAATGTTTGGTTATATAATTTTAGACACAAAGAAACAAAAAAATTAGCAATAATAAAAGTTAACATGAATTTCATTGGCAATGAAATGTTATTTCCAAATATCTTGCTACCAAATCGAATAATAAAATTCAAAATTTTATTTAAATAAATAACTACCA